TTAAAAGAGCACTCTTTGGTCTATTTTCTTACACCGCATCCTTTGAGCCAATGAGTGCTAATGGAACGAAGTGTTCAAACATGTGACAGAAGAAGAAAAGGACAGTGGAGGAAGGTTTGGTTAATTTCGTTCTATGTCCTTTGAATGAAATATAAATTACAGGACTAGTCACATCCATCTTGCATTGTATCCCAATACTTAACAAAATGTGTAGTACTTGGTAAGCATTTTAGTGACTAAGTGAACATAGGAGAGGAGAGCACAGCTTTGGGCATCACATTATACATAGGATTTAGCAAAAACATACTGAACACCTACTACGTGACAGGTACTGTGCTAGATCCCAGGGTGATGACACAGGCTAAATTCCTGTGCTCATAGAGCTTTCTCCAAGTCTGATCCCATTTCTGAGGAAAATAAAACATCCTCGGCCGGGTGTGGTGGCACAGGCCTTTAATCCCAGCACTTGGGAGGCAGAGGCAGGTGGATCTCTGTGAGTTCAAGGCCAGCCTGGTCTACATAATGAGTTCCAGGACAGCTGGCGCTACAGGGAGACCCTGTCTCAAAAAGACCTCCCCCCCAAAAATCCTGAAAAACTGATGAATGATGTGAAAGGTATAAACAGGGTGAAGAGACAAGGGAATGGGAGCAAGGGTGTTTTTTAAAAATTGGAGATTTATTTTTATTAATGTGTGTGTAGGTGCGTGCATGTGAGTGCAGGTACACACAGAAGCCAAAGGTGTTCAATCTCCCTGAGCTGGAGTAACAGGTGGTTGTGAGCCATCTGATGTGGATGCTGGGAACCAAACTTGGATCCTCCGAAGAGCACTATGCACTCTTAGCCTCTTAGACACCAAGACAATTCTCTAACCCCAGCCCCAGCCCCAGGGGTAGTTTTGACACAGCTACTGATTAGATTGTCCAAATCCAACCCAAAGAATAAAAATCAAACTTAAAAGATCTTTTTTGTTTATATACTCTTTTTTTTTTCTTTTTTAAAGCTTACTTAAAAAAAAAAAAAAAACAAAACTTACCTTTTTACCTTTAAAGATGAAGGGACTGGGGAGATGACTCAGTTGGTGCTTGTCACACAAGCATGAGGGCCTCAGTTCAATCCCCCAGAATCCATGTGAAAATGGTACTGCACTCCTGTAATTCTAATGCTGGGGTGGGGGTGGGGGGCAGACTCAGGAGGATCCCTGGGTCTTGCTAACCTGTAGGCCTAGATGAATCTACAAGCTCCAGGTGTAGTGAGAGACTGTCTCAAAACAGGAAGAGCAACTGAGAAAGACACCAGACATCAACCTCTGTTCTCTACATGCACATGTACATGTGTGTATACACACGAACACACACACGGAGTCATATGAAGAAGGCAAATCCAGCACTGCCCGTAGTATTTGTATGACCACGTTACAGATACAGTGATGCTTATGTAGATAAGGCATTAAAACACCTTGGGTGCTTCACTTCTGAACTGAAAACCCACAGGCCTGTTTAATACTACAAATTCCACGGGTGCATTTTTTTCTTTTCTCCCTCTTGAAAGTTATATACCAAATGGCTCAAGTTGTTTTAATGTTTGTTCACTTCTTTCTGTATGTGTATCATAAAAATGTCAAGTGTGTTTACCCTTCAAAAAGTTACATTTCTTACCATAGAAAATAAAAATGGCCCATTTCTCCCTAGAAGAAAAGCAATCTTTTGAGCTGGGCCATTTGTCTCTATTTTGACAGCTGCTTCGGATTTGTTATCAGAGAGCCTCTTCACACAGCATGAGCCCTTTCCCCTTTTCTAGCCGAGGGCTGTCAACATTTCAGGAATTATTCAAATTTAAGGGGTTCTTAATAAACGAATCCCTAACTTCTTATTCTAAGCAGAAAAATAACTTTTTTTAGGATGAATAGAAAGGAAAAGCTCAAGATGTGATGCTTCTGGATTTGGGAATCCGTACTGCCCAGCATGTGACGTAACAACCATGCACGGCCAGGCACCAGTAAGTACTCAGGTGGGCCACACTCAGGTGAATGGCCTTGGCACGAGTGGGCAGGCATTCCTGCACCACTGGAGACACTGATGCCCGGAGGACTTATAGGAGCAGCTGTATTGTGTGCTGAGCTTCACGCAGTTTAGTCTCTCCCTCATGCCACCTCCTAACTTAGAATCAAATCTCTATCACCATCGTATGCAAAGTGGAAAACAATGAGGGCAATGATGTGTTTGAAATGCTGAATTACTCACTGCTAGAGCCTCCAATATAGAGAGAGCCAGTCTCTACTGCTAGACTCTAAAACTCAATGCTGAACACATCTAGGTTCTCAGGCAATGATGGAAAGGGCACACTTACTGGTGTGGCTTTGACATGGTGGCTCACTCTCAAGAATGTCCTCATACTACAGACATTAGCACTAGCGCAGGGCTATGTGAGGGAAAGGATTTAACTAATGCATGGATGTTCACTGTTATAGGAAAGAATCTAAACTGCCCAAAGTTTCACGTATAGGTTGCTGGATGCACAAATTATGGCATTCTGGAAGGTGATATTGTATACAGAGACTCGAAATACAGTATTAACCTATGTACTGCCATGAAAAGATGACCACCACATAGTAACTCAAAGGTGGGATGCTTAAGGGTGGCACGCTTTCCTGGGGGTGAAAATACTCCCTGAAGTATTGGTGATGGAAGCCTTTGGAATGTGGGATGGGTTATTCATTTAACTACTTATTTCCACAGTACTCGGCTTTAAAAAATGAAAATAGTTTATTTATAAAATTTAAAAATTAAAAATTAATTTCAAGCCAGGTGTGGTGGCGCATGCCTGTAGTCCCAGCACTTGGGAGGCAGAGGCAGATGGATCTCTGTGAGTTCAAGGCCAGCCTGGTCTACATAGTGAGTTCCAGGACAGCTGGGGCTACAGGGAGACCCTGCTTCAAAAAGACAAAAAAAATTTTTTTTTTCAATTCTGTCAAAAAAGTCTTTCTTATTCTGAAGGAGTCCAAGAAATGGTTAGCTATTGCCCTGATTTGCCCTGGTGCATAGAGAATGCTTGACATGCCACTGGTGGCCAGGGAGCATTATGAGGATGGCTTATCCTTGTCACACTAGAAGATGGAGGGACACAATAACATTAATTCAGCATTTGAGGAGGCGAGTCAATGGAGAAGAGTTTCGATGGCCAGGGTTAATTTACATGACATAGAGACTGGCTAGATAAATGTCAACTCACCAAGAAGCAAGTCAAGCTCTATTTGTCCTGGAAGAAGACTCTTACTCAATCCTCGTCTCGAGATTCTCCGAGTCTCTGTCTCCTGAGGAACTTACCTGTCAGTTTAGAGGTAGCAGAGGATAAAGAAGAGGCAAGCTCAGTGAGTGAGTGCTCAATGGGTCCAGCTAATCCAGAGACTGTTCTTCCTTAGCAAAATTCCCACAAGAGGAAGTCCGATGCACCAAAACCTGCTGCAATGGTTCCCTATGACACTGGGGTTGGGGCAGGGGTGTCTGCTGCATTAACCAGCTGACCTGCCTGGTGGTTTAAAAAGGATCCTGGAATCAAACACTAGCCTTGAGGCCCAGCATTAACATGTAGGTGCTGTGGGACCCGTAGGCAAAGACCACTCTCTCTAAATCTAGGCTTCTTCAACAAATGGAGAGAATTAAAATTATCTCCTTATGGGGTGGTTTTAAGAAGATAATCCATGTTGTAATCCCAGTACCTGGGAAGCTGGGGCAGAGGGATTGTGAATTGAAGGCCAGCCTGGGTCACACAGAGAGATGCTGTCTACACACACACACACACACACACACACACATTCACACTGTGTATCATAATGTATGGCATAAAATGCTCAGTAAATATCACTATGAGTTTTACAGATGTTTAACTGTATGACAGAAACAGGGAGGGGAGTGGAACAAGCAGCAGAGGAGGTGAGGTGCCGCACACATGTGGGGATGGAGACTGCATGCCTCAGGATGCCACCTCAGTCACGTGGTGCTTTCCTCCTCCTTACAAACAAGGGAGGGAGTGCTGGGGTGTGGCGAGGGAATTTCATACCAGGAGTCTGCCCTTTCATGACTATAGACACTCACTTATAAAGTGTGTGTGAGCCCACTTACTTCTAGGAGACTCAAGGAAACAGTTCCCTCTGGGGCTGCTCTCAAAACTCTTCCCCTCAAATCTTCCTGACATCCAAACAGCTGTCAGGAGAGGAGCACATCTGCTCCAGCCATTTTGACTTTCTCAGGGTTAATGACTGTGTGTCAGCCTGTATTTGACTTTATGCTATTCCTCCAGACAGGAAGCATGAATCCTAAATGTACTCAACATAAGTCCTAAATCCTCAGTGTATATAGAGTGGTATGAGAAAGCACAATACCCTCATGTGTCCGCCATATGAATCTTACATGCCACATGAAATTCACAAGGCTAGACAGTTTAGGAGCTAGATGTTGATGTAGGTATTAACTCTGTAGGAACTCGGTGACATGATGGTATTTTAAAAGATGCCTCTCTTTCTGTCAGGTCGCCTACCATACTCCTACAAGAAGGCCGACTGAAGCCGGGGATGGGCTTACAGAGGAGCGCAGTGGGGTTTGGTGAGACCATGTTTGAACTGAGGTGCCTTCTGGATTGCTGTGGAATGCACAGCTGCAGACCCAGCTGTATCAACAGAATGAAGGTGCCTTATTGGACTGCAACCTCCCTCTGTGAGGACAGCCGGGTGCGGGGCAAAGCAGACTGGACAAGGAATCAGAAGATGAGGTGTGAGTGCCAGTTCTGGGACAGCATGCTTTGTCTATCAGAACTGGTTTCTCCACTTAAAAACAATAAAAATGCCTACCAGATCAGCCTGATAACCATGCTGTCTAGCTTAAACAAGATGGGGTCTAAGAAACATTTTATACATTATGAAGTCTTTCATATGACGTAAGTTGGATTGTGTCCTCTGAGATGCAGAAAAAAAAGTTGTATTCAGCAGCAGATGAGACAGATATATAACACCCCACAAGTTTTTCAGATCACTTTCCTAAGATGTGAGTACAAATGGGGAATTATCAAATAAATGAAGTAGTTTACTACATTCATATAACTTTTCAATATGTATTTTTCTTATAAAAATCATTGGATCTAATACCAAACAAGGAGCTACATATAAAGTCATAAAGATCTAGCTATATATGAAAAAGTGTATTATAAAACTTAGTTATACATGATTTCAACAAATATAAGTAGATTATTCTCCCAAAACTACTGCAGTGTCAACTGATCTGTCACATGAACCCAGAAACATTATGGTTTTACAGTGACACCCTAACATCATAGTTTTGACTTGACAGGCCCCAGGGCTGTGCACCAACTCTGTGCTGTGTCTCAGGATGTGGTCTCCTGTACCCAGTTGTGCCTGCAGACTGGGAAGCCTTAAGACCACCAAACTGCATTTTCCACAGAAAGCCATTAGCTTTTCTGGTCAGTCAGCTCTCTAGGACAATCCTCTTCATTCTCCTCTGAGCAGGACAGGTTCAGGACACTCATCACAGGGTGGATCCAGGATGTGGTCTGGGTTACATGACTGGAGAAGAACAAGGGACGCAGATTAGAATGTGAAAGACTGTCTTTCTACCCACTCATGTAAACACTGATCCTGGGGACATGGCTCCCAACCCATGGTAGGCCACTGGGACAAGGAGCAGCTAGAACTGGAACTAATAGTTTCAGTAAGTCCTAGACATGTCTTAAGGCTCCTTTGTAACCATGAATGTGGATGACTGTATCACCTTAGACTTTTCTTTCCTTACCCATCCATCTTGTCTGTCCTGTCAGCAAGTCCTAGGATTGTCTAGCTGTATGCACATTGTAGAGACTGTCTCCTGCTCTCCTTTTCCAATGTCACAGTGTTGGCCACTGAAATGGCTTCTCTCAGTCTCTGCTCTACTAATTTCCTAATTCATTCTCCATTTCGGCCCAGATACACTCCTAGATGACAACATACACCAGTGAAGTTTATGAGTCAAAAGCTCAGTTTCAACAAATTCTGGATCAAACACATACCATATATGAAGTACTCTGCCTTTTACCTGCCTAGACACTTTCTCCTGGGCCACATTTCTCTTCCCTAAGTTAACTTTAATGCTAAAGATGCAAATCTCCCTTAAGATTCCTCCGCTCTATGCTGATAGTCTTTTTTCTCATTTCCCTGTATTATAAAAGCATGTGTATTTTAGGTCTTAGTTCATTAAAAGCTCCTTGGAGGACAGGGCTGGTTCTTATCTCTGCATTTGGTGTCTGGTATGTTTTCAGAACAAATGACTAGCACCCCGCAAAGTATTTGTAGGAAGAACACAAGTAGAGATGAGGAAGGAGGTACAAAAGATATTGTTGCATTTAGGTGGGGGCAGAAAGACACAAAGCTGTGTTCCTACCTGAAGCTTGGTGTTTCTCAGACCTTGTATCCTATCCCAGCTTTAAGATGGATGACTCTCCCAAATCTACCACCACCTGCCCCACTCCTCAGAGTGAGGGGGACAACTTCTGGGCTTAGGAGAGATTTGTTTCCAGACACTACAAATGCACTCATTTTATTGATCTGGTTGTTTTAAATCATATACTCTAAATTTTTTCAGATTCCTTTAAAGAAATAGTTTAGTTCTTCCACCTAAACTTTATAAATGTAGCTTTCTATAAGAGTAGATTACTGATAGTTTCACAGTGGGGTAAAGGACTTCAAGTTGTCTAAGATTCAAGGTAGAGGTGATAAGGCCCAGGTATCTTCAGTTTCCAAACTTCAGAGTGTGGTGATACAGGGGGTAGTATGTGGGGATAATTAACACGAAATACCTCTGAAAGACATATGGAGACCTCCCACTATATAATCTTACTAAAATATACATATGTAGGAGTTTAAATGATGTTACCCTATAATGGGGGCACAATGCCTCTCCCAGACACCATAAGCTATAACCAAAAAGCCCAGTGCCAGGTATGGGTCACCTTTCTTCTAGTTGGTGTCAGTGAGGTCCCACAGATCCCCCAAGCATTACAGGCTATTGTCATTGCTCTTTGTTAGCTTCTGGAACTTAATGACAAGACCCTATAGCTGAAGACACCACATAGTTGAGACATAGAATGTGGAGAAGTCAAGCTGGTACTGACATGGAAGCTTCATCCTTATTGGCTAGCTTTCATAGTGCTAGAAGGTTCTATGCACACTGCCGGGGAGAAAAGTAATCAACAGTCTCACCCAACAGTGAACCCTATGAGCTACAATAATAACTGACCTAGCAAGATATATACACTAGTGTAATAGTGGCACCAACACCAACCACTTTCTGATTGGACATAAAACCTGCTCCATAAGTGGAGCTCATGCCCAGTACCATTTACTGGACTGAAAACCCATGTCCTAGAGAAGAACCTAATACTATTATTCCACTATAACATATTATATTAATAACATATAATATTATATTCTCCATAAATGGAGAAAGCAGTAAGATGCCCCTATGTTCTTCTTTTTATTCCCATAGACTAGAACATCTCTCAACCCTCATCAGAGAAGGTTCTTTTTGCAGTAGATGATGACTAATGCAGAGACCCACAACTAGTCAGCATGCAGAGTAAGAGACTGTGGAATGCTCAACTCTAAATGTGACATCTCTATCACCCCCCGCCAAAGCTTGGGAATCGTTAAGGAAGCAGGGCAGAAGATCATCCAGCTACAGTGTGTTGGCACAATGAAGAGAGTGTAATGCAAATTATTTTAAATCCTCCTTTCCTTATAATAGTCCCTAAATGAGGAGGGTGGTAAGGAAGAAAAACAAAACAACAGCCAGGAGGATGAGTTCATGTGCACGCTTTGCAATTTGATGTTTTGCAAATAATATTCTCATCTTGAAATAGTAACTGTCTACATAGAGAGTTTACTAAATTGGTAGCTCAGAATAATAAAAGCCAAATGTCTAAGAAAAAAACATACATATAGACTCTATACAATGAATATTGTAAAGTTCCACAGGAAAGTCATCTTTGCCAATAACCTTCAATAAGACTTTTCATCAACTAATCACCATGTGACCTTACTTCGAATACAAAGATAATACCTTAAAATTTGATTAATCTTATATTCACAGTATACTTTCTTTAAAGATAAAAACCTAAGAATCTAAAAACTGCTTTATTTTACTGGTGGGCACACACACACACACACACACACACATACACACACACACACTCTCTCTCTCTCTAAACATCAAATTTGTAATCCTAACAAGCTATTCACTAGAACAAAGAAAGCACAGGCAACAGAGAGTTGTTCTCTGTGCTTCACAACACAGTTCACACTTTATCTTTGGAAACAAAACAAAACACCCAGGACCAATGAGACGGAGTCCCTGAAACCCAGGTGTTGTATGTAAAGGGTCTACAAAGAGTAGACATTGGTGAAATGATCACAGATAGTTTTATTGATAATTAGGGCTTCGTGATTACTGCAGGAACAACTTGGAATTCTACCTGAGAGGCTGGAGTGAGCCCTGTCTTGAACACCATTTGGTTTTATGTCTTAGTGCACACTATGGCTAATGTGCTTTGACATAATCAGCATGATAAGATAAACCTAGATTTATTGGCTTGAAGAACATTCTACTGTTAGAAATACTTCCTCTGATTTGTGGGCTTGGTAATTCAACTGAGAGCATAGAATAAATCAGTCTAGTTGACTCTTTAATTAATAAAGATCTCATGGTTCATAAAGGGAGATGTTGCTGTTTAGAATGAAAAATTCAGAGAGCTGGGAAATAAAGGAAGCTGGCTGTGAGACGTGAGAATTCCCTATCAGAACAAGCAGTACCTCTGGCAAATGTTGAGGCAGACACACTGCATTTGATCTAATCTGGGGAGTGATCAACAGCCATTCAGAAAGATTTAAAAATCTGAAAAGCATAATACATTTGCATCTGAATGGTTGCCAGATCTGTTGTTGGGGAGATGACAGTAATGTGTATTTTTAAAATTAATATTAGTAAACCGAAAGACATATTGTAGAGTTTATTAAAAAAAAAACCCAAAAGAATATGTTTTATTTTATTGGCAAAGAAATGTTAAGTGAATTATTTAAATCCCATTAGAACTACCCTTCTTATGTTTCTTACTTCCTCGCTAGAAGATCAATGCATTCATTCATAAAGGAAAACAAATTGATTCCTTTCAAAATAAAAATTTAAGACAGTCCCTAGTAAAACAGTGGCTTAAGCATAAAAAGTGCGATAGTTTTTCAGAAATTCATTCTGATAACTGTCTGTGACAGTGACAGAGCTCCTTCTGCTAATTCTCCATTGTAAGACTACTTCCACAGTGCTGTGAGCGTAATGAGACTTGTCTGTATTATTTTATCATGCATACAATAAATCTGGGATATGAACCAAGAGTAAATAATTTCCAAGGCAATTTTTAAGGGGAAATAATTTTATGGATAACATATTTATATAAATCAGGTACACGTATTTTCATATAATTTGTTTCAGGTCCCAGTAACTGAAGCACTGGAAAAATTTAAAACTGGCCATAAAATGCAAGTACTAGGGGCAATGAAAGACTTATACTTAAAAGAGTCCTCATTGTAAAGTTAGCAAATCAGAAATTTTGTTTTTATTCTGTATTTATACCACTTTCTATTACAATATAAAGCAGATAGCAAATATTAAAATTCAATTAATTAAAACATTTTAGGCCTTAGATATTGAATATCTTCACAAGAACCTCAAGCTACAGTAATAGAGTACATGTAATATTGGGAAAATTGCTGTCATTAACATAAAAGATGAACACTGAAAGAAAAAGAAAATTCCTGGCAAAAATGTTTGTTTTAATATTCACTTTTTTAGCTAATATACACAGATTACTGTTGATTATTGTATAGATGCTTTAACTGGGACGGTAATAAGGAAGGCTATACAGGCGGAGAGAGAGGAGAGATAAATAACGCTTCAGTGGTAGTGAAAAGTCAGATTAGTTCAAAAGCCTACTGAAAAATTTGTGTGTGTGTGTGTGTGCATATGTAAAGCCGAAGGCCACACATATAATAAAAACACACTGCCAGGCAAAGGACACCTTCCTTTGAGTTGTTGGTCAGGGTAGTCCAAGTGACTCGTAAAATGATACAGGCTACTGCCACAGTCTTTGATTGCCTCCCAGAACTTGAGGGTAAGAACCTATTGGTGAAGACATGACACATTTCAGACACAGGACTTGGAGCAATGGAGCCGGAACTGACCTGGAGGTCCTCCCTGAAGACTAGTTCTCATAGTATTGGAAGGTGCTATGCAAATTCCCCAAAGAGATAACAAATGAATGATCCTACCCAGTTGTAAAACATATAAACCACAACAATGATGCTCCCAGGAAATAATCTCCATTAGTGCAGTGGTGGATACTATTGTCTTGAGGTCAATCAACAGCTATCTATCTGGACTCAAGGCTCACTTAACGGAAGGGAACTCATATATGGTACTGTAACCACAGCCAAGTACAAATGGCTGGAGAGGTCACAGACCCTAGAGAAAAAACCAATTTTGT